CGCATTTTTCCTCCCTTGAAAATGCTCTAATTATTTTATCAATGCTTCATTAGTTACCACAAATTACCGCCCTTGAAATGGTCACAATCCTTGTGTATGTTTTTTCTATTTCGACAGTAGTTTAGTAGACCTTATCCACTTTGGTTACAATAACGTCCTAGAAGAGGATGGATCACAATCGATGCGACTTACTTAAACCACAGGGAGACAACTCTGGTATCACGAAGAGCAACACCCAACCACACATTAATGCAGTGTTTCAGACACTTGGGCGAACACAAGCCTTATGATGCAGATCATGTGTCAAAACGAGTCATCGATCAGCGGATCCTGGTGGGATATAGCTCTGTAGAACGAACGCTTACGTCTTAAACCATCATACGTTTCTCACACTACAGTCGGCACAACGAACGAAAACATTTCTAACACTGATCATGACTGAGATAAACGTGACCCGTGTTACATCCGGGATGTGGTAGTTATGGTTGCTGCAGGAGGATACACAGTTTGTCGGGTTTGGTGGCTCAGTCGATGGCGCATCACCGCACACGGCGTTGCAGGGGGCGGATCCAGGATTATGGAGAAGGAGGTAGGGGAGTTGGGTGCACATTAATCATGAAGTTCAAAGGTTAGGGGTAAATACTCCTCAAAGACAATACAATACCCCATGAACATTTACACATGTCCAAGGACTCGGCAAGATGGGTACCCTGAAACCCCACTGCACAAGATCAGCACCAACATCAAATCCAGTCGAGAACTTCCAGAAATGTCTATTTCCAGATAATCATTGAGTCATCAGTGGGATCACAGGAATCCATGCGATAGAAGCCATCGCATTCACCAGCACAATAGAAGTTTCGAGCCGTCAGCCAGCGCACTTTAAACTGCAATCACAGACACTGAATATGCTGCGTTGATGACAAAGGTTAGAGGCATAAATAAGAAGGAATGTTGACTGCTTCTCCGTGAAATTGCACAGAGACACAAGTGTCGATTTGCCATTCTCGAATGTGGATTCGAATAACTGAAGCATCCTCAAGATCACACCTGCAACTGATGATGATCTCAAGACGGGGTGTGGAGTCCTGTTTGAGAGACTAATCAGATGAATGCTATTCCACAATCATAACGGACAGACTGCCTTGAAGTACAGGATGACTGGATAGAAAAATAACAACATTTCACATGCTGCCAATAAAAGTAATGTGTTCTATCTGACTGCCCTGAGCATCGATCTAAGCAATTGGGATACGATTGTATGTGTCAACCAAAGCAGCGAGCCTGAACACAGTTAGTTGCACCTTACGACAAGCATGGTAGTTGAAGATCGTAACCACGGATCTGACTCAAAGAGCAGGACCCAGGTTACTTTCAATATGCAATTCCTTCTCATTATGAAGCATTTTAACTGCAAAAGGGCCATTCATATTTATAGTCTTTTACTTGGCAAAACCTTTCTTGCACAAATTAATATGCCAAGAACCAGAATAGATTCTAGTTAGCAATAGGAAAAAGAAATAAGAAAGACACCACACACACACACACCTAGCCATAAATTATGAACGGTCCCTAGGCAGTTACTTACTATTACACGTCCTTGTGGAGATCCAATCCTGGCTGTACTCCTTAAACGAGAACGCACAAACCACTGGGCTATCACATGTTTTTCGTTTTGTATCGAAAAGCAACATACACCAATAACAATTCCAAAATATTGAATATGGTATGTACAAAAGATCAGTAACGTTTTGATAGTGTACCATGAGATGTACAGGTGATGATACTGAGTTTTACAGAATGAGATTTGAAATAGCATATTTAGATTAACAGAGATTCAAATCAAATAATTTCGGTATTGCCAAAAAAGGTATTTTGTCTATTAATATCACAAGAAATATAACGATTACTGGTATATACAGTCATATCAAGGAACATGAACGTTGCCATGACAACATTGACGACATGAAATCTACTCCAACCAGAGGTAACAGTCACTCAAGAAGTTAGTCACTTGACAAACAAGTCGAGAAACCTTCCTGAGAAATGACCTATGACTTTTGCTCTATGGCCTCTGTGTTTCCTTCGTGGCGGATACTGGGGTCACTTTCTTATAAGATTCCGTAACTGAGAAGGAAATTATGATATGTGTAACACACATTTCTTTGGAAACCTAGACAACATTTAGAAATTGCCATGGGTGTTACAACACTGTGATTAAAGTATTTTGGCCAACTTATTGAAGGCAAATCGCTATGCTACCGTTCTATTCCTCAATGCAAACTTCCTATAACCGATTCCTTATTAGTGTTGTGTTTAAGGGCGATTATGATATTTCAAGTCCTTTTAAGTAACTTCAACACATAGGAAAACATAGTACAGGCTGTCAGCCCACATACTGACAAAAGGTTTCTTGATTGTTGTGCGTTGCGGTTGCCCGCTAGACGTCACGTGACTCATTTCCGAGGTCACGAGGTCATCCTGGTTCTCCACTGCATCAAAGAACTTATCCACCTTTGCCATGTCGATCGTCTCCTCCTGGATGATGGTGGAGTGGGACATGGTGGACAATGGCGTGTTCCAGGGTGCCCGGATGGAGAGCTCCTCGCAGTTGGTGGAAATGAATCTATTAGCACACTCCTCCCATCTCTTCACCTTCTTCGTCTTCACGTCGACGACCGTTCACTTCCACTGGTAGTCACGGTGGACGTCCAGTTGAGTATCTGCCCGAGGTCATGTAAATATGCATCCGTTTTTCAATATACTTCATACGGGTCAATGAAAGTTGGGTTTAACGCCGTTTGACTTAGTATTTCCGATTCAGATCCGTTTATGAGATGCATATACAAAATGTTAAGACGAATGAAGAAATGCAATTATGTTGAATTTCAAGCAAGACTGAAGAATTTTCCTACATACCCGCCGGTGGCCAGTTTCTCAGGGTACTCGTGGGCCATCAATGCTTTCTTGGACTTGCAGGATCTTAGACATGGCTCCGAGCCGACAACGGCGAGAGCTTCCCCTGCCTCACAGTAGTAGTGGGTCTCCAGCTTCAGGGCGCAGGTCTGGGAAACAAAACAGTTGGGGTCCCAAAGATGCATGCATCACCCCTTCGTGGTAGGACAGTCGCGTCCGGAAAAGCAATATCAGACATTGATTTATAGGTAGTAATAATAAACTACATGTAATGTTATTCTACTTTAGTAAATTTTCAATAAAACCTTTAAATAGTCATCTGTTAAAAGTGAGAAGGGCGTCAAATGCAAACAATTTTAACAACACTTAACTCAAGACAACAAACATTAATGAATGTATAAATTAAGTGTACCTTCTAACATATGCGGGATCCCAGAAGAGGACTTTCTTGTCATCAGCCACCAGCCACGACCATTCAAAGGACGAGGACACCGGAAGTTCAGCACTGACCTCCCACACATCACTTTCAGAAGAGGAGGGTTTGGCAATCAGCTGTTTCTCAACTTTCCACCGAGCAGGAATGGAACCAAGTAGAGCTACGTTGACAGCATTCCTTCTGCCTTTGATGTCCTTCGGACTTATTTTCATGTCATCAGGATGGTGGTACAGTTTGAACACGATCTTCACCAAATCAGGAGACATGTTGTACTCACCGATGAAAACTTTTAAAGTACGATACGAGTCACGGTTGTGTATAACTTGCTGTAAGCGCCGTATAGACCACTCTCCTATCCAGAGTTCCCCGGGCCAGCCCGCATAGTAGCTCTTCCACAGGCCAGAAAGTTGTGACGATGCGTCACATCTTACACAGTCCATTCAATATAATGTACGTGTTTCTGAACTCTTCTATATTTGATGAGTCTAGATATCTAATTAAACATCATTGTTAGAATAGTTTAGTTTCACTGAGAAAATATCCTAAAACGTCTGAAACTATTTCAATTTGCGCAGCGATCCTTTGATATCATTTTTTGAAGATTCTCATTTTATTACTGACTGATTTTAAAATGTGAATGACCCCCCTAAAATTTATGTGCAAAATAAGCGACCCCCCTTCATGTCATGTACAAAATCAATGACCCCCTTCCCCTACCCATAATTTCTAAGCATATTTTTAAAAGTAATTTTATGTACAAAATAGATCCCCCTCCGCCCCTAGTACGTGTGTGCAAAAGTTGATGACCCCCTAGCTCGCCTCTTCCCTCCCCTCCCAGCCATAAATTATGAACGGTCCCTTATTGCTGAGCGGTGCTTGGGTGGGTGGGTGGCGGTGCTTGGAGCAGTATTGTTAGCTTGACAAGAAGGAGTGTTGTATTCGAAGGTACAGTTTTACATGGATGACCCTTTCGAAGACGACACACCACGAAGATGGAAGCCCTCTACAATCTTGGAACATCTATTTTAGGACTCAGGGATCAACAGATAAACAGACCTTTGTAGGACACCTATCAACATCAAACTACAGCTTTGGACCGTTTGGAGAACTGTCCCTAGTTATGGCAATGAAGTGATGCAGGTCACAATCGAGCGCATCTCTTTATCGATCAGCGGATCCTAGCACGGGAAAGGGAAGCAACGTTGTTGAGGGAATTGCGACATCTTAAATCACCCACACACCCATTTAGTCACAATGCCGTCAGCCCATAGAACAAAAGCATCTCAAACACCGACCATGACTCACTTACACGCCACGTGACCGTGTTACACCAAGAGAGCATCCTGTGTTTTGCTGAACGATGCGACTCAGATGACTGATTAGTGAGTGCTGGTGGCTTACTAGTGCTGAAGGGGTCGTTGTCGGCACAGGTACTACAGAAATGTACCCCAGGTACCTTTCTGTATACAGAAATGTACCCTAGCCAAAGTAAATGTACAGAAACGTAACCGGTACCCTAAACGGCAGACGAGTCCACTTTTCTCAAGCTGAAACCGAAACCGGTTTGTGGTGTTGTTCCAGATCGCCTGATTTCGAGCGCTTCCACTGCATCGCCGAGTATTCACTTTGTATTCTAACGCAATCGAATATGGAGCTCACACGACAGTATGAGAGTTCCGATCAAGAAGATGATGACGATTTCCCATGTTCATTTACGACAGCTGTTGGTGGGAACGATTTGGAAACGGCCCTTTCAGGACACCCAAAACTTAAAAAGTTTCGCTCCTGAGAGAACAGCGCTGGATATGTACGAAGTATGTCACCCCCATTGTAGACAGCTTTCAATTTTCTGTAAAACTGACTTCAGGGGACGTCATGCTCAAGAAAAATCGAATGTCTGATATTTTATAACTGACAGCGGAAGGAAGGTATATAGTTCTTCCTGACGAACCTTCACTGCCATGTTAAATATTTCCGCGGTTTGACAGGCAGAAATAATTTTTAGTACGCGTTCGAGAAACCGGTTTAGCACTCATCGCGATGCAGAATGGGATCGTCCTAGGGTACGATTCTGTACATTTACTTTGAAAGGTACCTGGGGTACATTTCTGTAGTACCTGTGCCGACAACGACCCCTTCAGCCTTACTAGTACACGACCACTGGTTTGTGTGATTCAGACAAAGACAGCTAAAATAGCTATTTGACAAGAGTCACTAATGACAAACACAGAATAATATGCATGTGCGTTGTTGCATCGATAAGCTTCCGTTCCCCAAACAAGCTGGGTTATCACCACACCACTGTGTTTCCTGTCTTCAATTTCTTTTGTCTGTCCCTGGTTAAGTCGTGAATAGAAACACTGTCGTTAAAGGAGAATACGAACGAAAACAAAACTTGCGTAAGTGGACAAAATGGAAAACAATGAAAGCAACAAGTACTTCATGATTTGCCGTTGTATTCGGCAATGTTTCGGGTAGACTGCATCATTTAGGGCTCCAAACCGAAAAGAACGTTATAGCGAAACATTTTCAAGCTCATGTGAAATCACTTACTGATTTTGATAATATATATCTCATGTGTTCCAGTCGAACTGCCCCAGCTACAAAATGCCCCAGCAAATTTGGTCATTCATTCTAATTTGGTCAAATTTATTTATAATGATTAAATATATGCCGTAAATGCACAGTAGTTTTTGTCAACTTTGTTATTATGTTCTTCATATAAAAGTTATTAGGAAGTAATATTTCAGACAAATGACTATGTATATACTTTCATAAGAAGAACATAATATCAAAGTTGACAAACCTATGCATATATGGCCTATATTTAATCATTTTAAATAACTTGGAGCATTTTGACTACCCCACTGAGGCAATTTGACCAAAACTCTGGGGCAATTTGACCAAATTTGCTGGTGCATTTTGTAGCAGGGACAATTCGACTGACTTGATTTAATTTATGTTAAAAATACCACTGACAGTAAGTTGTAACAGGGAATGATGGAGTATAAATGAATCTCGTGGGTACTTCTTCCTTCTTCAGCCTAGCTTGGGGATTTTCGTACCCCATGTGTGCATGTCTCGGAATGATCGGAGCATTTCTCCTGCCTAAATCTGTCTCTTTACTTAGAAAACGGAAGAAATGGTGGATCTTTCCATTGTTCGATGATTCCGTGCATCCCCAGGCAACGGAATACACCATCGTACCATTTACAAAAAGGACAGACACAACAGGATTTGTATTACTGTAGCGCTTGTTCTATGGCAATATGGCGGACTCTAGTCACATATGACGTCACAAGCGGAATGGTCACGTGAGTTCCAGCGGAATATGCATAATGGCCGAAGCTCAGATAACAGAAACTGTTTTCGCGATTACAGCATAATAAACCATATTTTTGAAATAGAAATTGGGGTACATGTTTCTGATGACTTTTTCTTTCACCCAGCAAATTATTGCAATTGTCTAGTATTCTCCTTTAAGTAATACCCCTTCAAATTGAATTTAAACATCCCACTATTTTATAAGGATATCTTGACTATCTGGAAATTCCATTTTTACAAAGATGTTGAGATTTTTAATCAAATTATTTGGAAAATAAAAAGGTGCTTACAAATAGAAAAAGCTTATATGACTCAGATTGGAAAGAAGCAGGTATTATTTATGTTTGGCAATTACTTAAAATATAAATGTCCTGCAAAGACAAACATTAGCTAGGATGTATGGATTAGAAATTTCCCAAAGAAACTACAGATTGTACATGTGCCAAAAAAAGAGCAATTGGTCCAAATGATTATTATAAATATATGACTTGTTCTTTCCAAGTGATGTTTGCCCAGGTATAAACGGTGTAAAAGTTGCTGATATTCCTGATAATGCCAAGTCCCGGTACAGCTTAATGCATAATATTTGTTCTGTGACAGAAGAGGATACTTATAAATGGAAAACTGTACAAGATTCAGAATAAGAAAATACAGATACAAACAATTACAGTTTAAAATTCTTCACTCAATTGTGCCTTGCAATATATATATGAACAAGTTAAATGTTAAAGATAGTAAACTGTGTGAACACTGTGGCAATGTTAAAGATAGTAAACTGTGTGAACACTGTGGCAATGTTAAAGATAGTAAACTGTGTGAACACTGTGGCAATGTTAAAGATAGTAAACTGTGTGAACACTGTGGCAATGCTGACACTATCAGACATTATATGTTCTATTGCTCTCATGTTTTGTCATTCTGGCTTTCCTACTTTAAATGGGCAAAAGCAAATATTCAAGATAAAGTATATCCAAATTACAGAAATGTTGTATTATATGGCCTCTGAAGACTGTAAATTATTTAACTATGTATTGATGTTTGCTAAATTTATAGTGTCTCGCTGCAAAGTCAATGGAAGTGATTGTAATTTGGACACTTTCATAAAAGATCTAAAATTACATCATAAAATACTGAAACATACCAGAAAAAATGTAAGTGAGAAAGTGAAATCTTTATATGCTTAGTGTTTAACACTTATGACAAGTGTATATCTAACTTGTGACTAATCATTTTTTAACCCTAACACCCTGGTATGTCCATCCACGTGTCACTGTACAGGGGATGTAAAATCGTGGAATTGTATTGCTAATAAATGGTGCTAAAAACCCCAAAAACCCAAACAAACAACAATATCTCCCATACCTCAATTTAGACAATCGTATCACTTAGGTTGTTTGCACTCTGGTCATTCAGGGGCGATGGGGGTAGCCTAGTGGTTAAAGCGTTCGCTCGTCACGCCGAAGACCCGGGCTCGATGTTTGTTTTCACGGGTCGGTGGGGTGGGGTGGGGGTGGGGGTGTCACACTTTTGAGAAAGGGGGGAGCACACGTGATTTTCACCCGTTTTCGCGAGAGTTTCATTGTCAAATGGTCATTTCATAAACTTTCAGGACAAAAGGGGGTGCCTATCCCCCAACCCCCTCTGGATCTGCCTATGGTTTGTCTACAGTGTTTGGTTGTCTGTGTGGAGTATTCCGCTGTGATTCAAAGCGTTACTGATCAGAACACAGATCAGTTCACGCTTTACCGGCAATTACACTTCCTTGTTGATGACAGAGTCCTTCATGCAGTCATTGTATTTGCTAAGTGGATGTCGGACATGTTGTTTGCATGTCTGTTGGTCTGTTGCGGGGCTGTCTTGTGTCAGGGCAAGGGTAAGTCCTCATGACTTTCAGATGTTGATCCCTCTGTTGTAACTGAATATTCGTCACTTTTGTAAAGGTTTGGGATAATGGAAAAAAAATGTTTCATTATTTTAAGTGCAGACTTTCTACATTGAATTATCGATTATATTTTTGCTCCTGCATTTGCAGTGAAACCAAATGCTTTTAGCATCTTAAATCCTATAGGTTAGGCATGGATTAAAAATATGTGGTTTTGGGTCAAGTCTTTTTGTAAACGAGATGTTTTGATACTAAAATGAAAAACAGTGCGCGCGGTGGGCGAACTGTCTGAATGGACCAGGCTAGTGATCCAGCGAGCTTGACGTGACGGGATCGAGCCCACCTGTGACCGGGTGTAAAAACCTTGGAGTCAACTTTGTGTGCAGACTCTTTCAGTGTTGTCACACCCCCTAGTGTACAATACACAACCCTGTGCACTTAACAGAACCCACGAATCCGTTGGTATATGACCAGATGTTGGCCACATGAATACGTGCAAACACCTAGTTGCAGGTACAGCAACGTGCAGTAAACTTGGACAAAGTGCTGTGACTATGTGTACCAGTCCACCCAGCTGTGAATGGGTACTTCGTAGAGATGGGAAAGCCACACTGACTCAGTGCGCCTAGTGGATGCACGAGTGTATGCTCCCCAGGGAGTTGAGATTGATAATACGACGTGCCGTTGATATTGACATCCAGTGATCGAGGGAAAAACAAAGCGCCTTTGAGCAGCTGAATTGGATATCGGCGTTATACAAATGTTAGCATAATAATATACTATCCCCCCAACAAAAGAAACGCATAGGCAAGATATCTGTTTCGAAAATGTTGTATTTTCAAACATGTATAACCCGTCCACAAATAGACTTTTGTGCATGAATCATTGCATCAGTTTAGAAGAAGGAAATGTCTTTACAACCAAGTGGATAATTTTAGATAACGGAGGGGCTGAGCGCGGTGGTGACGACGTAGCACGATCCCGACGTCGGGTCTCCTGGCTCTCAGTCCAATCGCTCTCACCCTGTTCCGTACAGTTTGACCAGATATCCTCCGAAGTCTAGGCACCCTGGCTGCTGTGCTCTCACCCGTGGCAAATGTAGTACCCGGATGTACCGGGCTGCAGTGGTGACTCGAGGTCTGCCTGTACGGGGAGGGTAATTTGTTATACCTGTTTGGTTGTGACGAGCTGCAAGCCGTGCTCAGACTAACATTCAGACACCTGGCAAAAGAAAATTGGTAATCTCCAGCGTGCATTCTTTCAATGGCGATGTTCAGTGTCGCAGCGTTAAGACGTGGCGTAGTGATTTGACCTCAAAACTCCTTCAAACCGAACACCGATTTCCGAAAGTAATCTGGATTAATATAGGCAGACAGTGCATGCTCTTTGCTGCACAATTTCAACTGGAAGGTGATTTTTGTTGCGTTGTTGCGATGCGTTTTTAATCCTTGTAAGAAATCTCATCAAAATCAACATTTTCAGGTAAAGTGATTTTTTACTTGTGCAATTGTGTAAAATCATGTTATCAACACTTTTGTTGCATATTTTGACGATTTTTTTAACACAATAGGTAATTAATAGATTTTAAAATATACAAAACACATATGCGTTTCTTTTTGGGGATAGTGTTATAATAAAAATCAATAAAACACAAATCATTTCAATGATTTGTTGTTTTTGTTGATTTGGTTTTTTAAAAATAACAATGCAACTTGACCAAGAGACGATCTGGTGGCTGCACGAGGAAGCAGAACCGCTATTTCATTATCAAATACAACGTCTAAACAAGAAAAAGACAATTTCACTGCCCAAGGCCCCTTTGTATGAACCGTTCCATTGGTGAAAGTAAATATTAAACTCCACACAAGTGTCTATAGGAAATCAACCCACACGGACCAATATCTTCACTTCTCATCTAATCACCCACTACAAGTCAAGAGAGGTACAATCGCCACCCTAGCCAGAAGAGCACAGAACATCAGCTCCACAACCCAAGCCCTTGAAGTCGAGTTAGAACACCTTCGCCAAGTCTTCATGAACCTTAATCAGTACCCAGCCAAACTAGTCAACAGAACCATCAAGACCACCCTCAACCCAAAAGACAAACCACCACGTCTACAATCAGTCCCGTTTGTCATCGTCATACCATATGTCGATACAACCAGCCGCCATATCTGCAGACTACTAAAGAAGCAAGCCAACACAGATGTTGTGTTCCAGAGAGGCACATCGATTCAGCATATCCTACAAGCCAACGGTAAACCAGCTGCAAGCAACAAAGAAGACGCTTCAGGCGTTGTCGACATGCGAATGTGGTGACTCGTACATAGGGAAACGCCCCGGCCCCTAAACCTGCCAATCAAGGAACATCAGACATCCGATGTAAAGAAAAAAAGATTCCAAATCAGCCATTTCCGACCACACCCAAGCCCACCCGAACCATACCATCCTAGAAGCCAACCGGTCAGATTACAAGATAAGAAAACTCTTAGAGACAATCAACATCAAACGACTCAACCCGACAATCAACAGAGATCAAGGTTATTACATCCCAACGGCTTACGATCAACTAATCAAGCCTAATCAAGAATAACCCACCCTTTGTCTACTGGCTTCAATAATTTCTGTATGACAACAAGCCTCATTATGTCAACACACTGTACATCAACCTCTTCTATTATAATACCCGCCATGTATATATTTCTCCTTGTGCATATGTTGTGTATCATTTGCTTGATAACGGTGTTAGGATCTACACCGAAACGTCACATCCGCTGCAGTAAAGAAGTTGTCTATCCATAAAAAGTGTTCCTCTTCAAATACTGAGGTGAGGTGAAATTGGGTTTTACGTCGTGCTTGAGAATATTTCGCTCATATGACGACGTGCATGCGTGTGTATATGTATGTGCGGCTGCTTGTACTAGCCCAGACTTAAGCTGGTTTTATAGTGCTAGCCCACTCAGATACCATGCCGCAGTGAAGCATGAATACCTTACTCAGACACATTATACTGACTCCGAGCTGACCAGTCCTTGTTGTACCCATTAATGCCGAGCGCCAGGCAGGGACCAACAAGTACCATATTTTAACGTCTTTTTGGTATGACGCGGTCGGGAATCGAACCCGCGACCTTTCGCTCTCCGGGCGGACGCTCTTACCACTACATCACCGAGGCGGTCTCTTCAAATCCTAAATGTACCACTTATTTGTAACTGCTGCGCCATGGTTAATTAAAGCGTTTGACATTCACGATTTGTGTTATCTCACTTACATCATCATGGCTAAAGACGTTTCATAAAACGGGACCATGTATCTGTACTGATCATACTTCCTGAGCAGACACCGTTAAACCGTTTGTAAGGTCAAAACAAAACACGGAACAAAGGCTGCCATAGTCGGCGGTTTGTGTCCTGAAAGAGTTTGTAAACAATGCAAGTGGTGTCTCTCTGGACAAGTGCATTTGTTCTCTGTTTAGCTAGCAGTGGATAGATACCAGATAGAATGAGATAGCAATATGACTTAACCCTCCAACACATCGCATTTTGGGTTGTATACTCCCATTTGGGTTGAGAATTGCCTGTGTAATTAAAGGGCTTTGAACGTGATATTCTGCCTGGAAAATAAATCGCCATACAAATGGGCAAATAAGGATGAATACCAGAGTACCAGAAAGCTATACTCACCCGCCCTCTCACTCACTTTCAATATAACGTGGCTCAGGGAGTTTGGTAAATAGGAAGGTATTTCACAATGTGTTGTGAAGTTTGTTTTTCAAGTCTTTTTGAATGCTATATATTTTTTATCCGGGGCATGTCATGATTCACAATACACCGATGCATGGATAATTTTCTCAAATGATACGACACTAGATACATATGTACCTGTATCGATTGATATTTGGCTGTTGCTATGAAATGCAGTATATGGACCATTCACAACTTGAGGACACGTGTGCAACAGATACGACATGAGATGGGCCCAGTTCAGGACGGCCACGCGTGACGTCACGTGCTAAGGACAATCAACTTCGGCTACGTCATTCGCGTAATCGTTTTACAATCGCAACGCCAACCAGTAACGCACTGTATAGGAGTCGTGTAACTACCCAGACAATACGAAAGCGCTTACGCGCTCCCCATCTTCGTGCCCGACGAACTCCTGTTGGGCTGATTCTGACTCAGGAAAACCGTAATGTACGTTTACGCACGGTATATTTGCACATGCGCTGCAACCAGAGACAATGTTTCGCGATGAATCATGTTTCACTTCGCCGACGGAAGAGTGCAAGCGTGAGGTCGGAACGTCAAGTCCAGTCCTGCGTACAGGAAGTTGATCGATTTTGTGGGAGTAGCGTAATGGAGTGGGAAACTTTCAGCGGGAACGTTCTCTCACTTCTCGTAATTCGATGAAACCTAATTGCAACGGTATATCGTGACCAGGTACTTTTCCGGGAGCTGGTGCTGTTCATATCTGCTCCTGTTCCAACATGAGAATGTGACACCACACCACAGCGGTTCTGACACTTAATTTCAAGCAAAATGCGGGTAGAGTCGTTTTTTTTACGTTTTTCTAGGCCACAGGCCCACAGTACAAAACATTTCAATATTGTGATTACAAATGGAGTGATTCATACAATTTCAAAGCAAAATATATGTATTTAGACAATTCACATAAGTAAGTTGATGATTTAAAGACATAAGTCGAACAAATGTTTCAAATGAGGGGTTACTATAGTATTTATACTCAATATACTGCTTTCTTAAGTCGGTGAAGGCACAGCAGACAAGGATAAAATGGTACTTGTTTTCCACAAGCTGCATATTATATCGAAGGCAGTATCTACATAAACGGTATTCGATGTCTATGCCCAATCGTCTCCCCATTTCGATCATTAGCTGGTGGCAGCCACATCTGAATCTGGTTAACGCTTGCTTCAATGGCGGGGAACTGATTTGTGAGAGATAGGATTCCGCATGCAGAACTGTTGAATAAGCTGTCAACTTGGAGTTAGATGCTATTGAAGCCGGCCATCGTTGAATGTTGTAGTCAGACACTCTTTGTTTGAACTCAGACATGAAAATATCAATATGTCCAATATCTTGCATAACCCAAGCGTACCCGAATCCAAACTGGAATAAGATATGTTTGATTTTTGTGGTCCAAGAAGATCTGTTGACGTTGTCTAATCCATATAGCATAAGACAGGTTTGCTTCGGTAATCTGTCGTTATTCATGTTGATTATTTTGGCCCAATATTTAACACATTTAGTTACATAAGAAACATATAATAGAGGTCGTCCACTTTCACCGAGCACCGCATCATTGCAGGTTGTCAAAGGCAGATGTAGAATTCGTTTAATGAACTTTGTCTGTACCCTCTCAATTTATTCTACCACCTCATATCCCCAGAGCTCGGCGCCGTATGTAAGTATTGGAAGGACCATGCTGTCGAAAATCCTCATTGCAGTGGTGATCTGTAATCCGCCACACATATAGTGAAGTCTGTATATGTGTAGACATACTTTCTCCGCCTGCTGTGCTAACACCTGTCTCGATCTTGTCCACACTAGTTTGGATGTAATGAAGTCCGAGATACTTATAATACGAGACAGTTTCTATTTGGGATCCTCTGTAGTACCATTTTTCACATGAAAGTAAATATCCACCTTTACGGAATACAACGATTTTGGATTTCTGCATATTCAACGTCAATCCCCATTTTGTACAAAAATTACTGACACAATTGATTTGGTCCTGTAGTTTTCCGGCAGAGTCCGCGGCGTTAGCAACATCATCGGCGTAGAGCAGTGAACATACATTAGGGAATTCCTCTGATATAAATATTCCTTTACAGTTAGACGTTGACATCTCACTGACTAGTTCGTTGATGTATAAAATGAACAACAGTGGACTGACCATACAACCTTGGCGTGTACCAACACAGCACTGGAAAAAATCCGTAAGCCCTTTATCTGTACGGACACACGACTGAAGCTTAGAGTACATATTTCTTAAAACTTTCAAGATGTTCCCATGTATTCCATATTTGATAAGCCGATGCCACAGTAATGTATGATTTCAGTTGATTTAGACAAGTATTTCGCGATCATACCGTAGAGAGAGAACATGTTGTCAACTGTACTCTACCCTTTCCTAAAACCTGCCTGATTCTCATGAATGATGTTGTTTTCTGTGATCCACTGTTGAAGTCGCTGATTTAATATTTAGTGAAAATCTTTCCAATTACCGGCAGGAGCGAAATTCCTCTGTAATTATTTGGATCGGATAAAGAACCATTCTTGTGTAGTGGACAGATAATAGCTTTGCACCATGTCATTGGGAAATTGCCAGTTGCCAATATTTCATTAAAAAGGTATGTCAATCTAACTGAAATGTGATTGACAGAATGTTTCAATAACTCTGATGAAAGACCATCCCAGCCTGGAGCTTTTCGGCATTTAAGATTCCGTATAGTATCTGTGACTTCGTCGTTGAGTTGATAAGGAAATAGTTGGTTACAATCATTACAATGTCTGTCATGATCTGATAGGTCGTTTGTTATGTCATCAATAATGGTTGAATCCGTTGTTACAGAGTTTAGCAAGTGTTCGAAATAGGTAAACCACTCGGTGCCACTGATTTTGTTGGTAGACGAAGAAGTAGCTTTAATTGATTTAATAGCTTTCCACAATTCCTCAGGGTTGTCACGAATGTTATGGAACTTCTCTTTAATATGTAACTGATGAGAAGATTTCTTAAGTTTGCATGTTGATTTAAAGACACGTTTAATTTGTTGATATTTTCGAAAATCCATTGAAGCGTCTGTCAATCTGAACTTGTCGAGAGCCCGGTACTTGTCACGCTTCGCTTACTCACACTGCTTGTCCCACCTTGTCCCAAAATGCGGGTATGCACCTGATAAAGTGGCCACCCAGATCACCTGTCCCTAATCCCGTCGACCACGTATGGGATGCTTTTGGAAGAAGGTTTTATGTCTTGAGACCTCAACCCCGCAATGCTCAAGAGCTGGGCCCCATGTTGGTACAGCAAAGAGATAACTGTGTTAAGAGGGAGCATACGCGGTACTGAACAAGCCCCAATACACATGGCTAGTCGATGTGAAATCAAAAGGTTTCAGTTTAATGTACGCTCATTATGTCCATGAACCAGATTTATCCACTAGCAAAACACTTTGTTCTATATGGGTATGATTGGAACATAAAGTAACACATGTGAAGTTTCTTTTATTTGTCAGTATATCACCGTCTCATTCTACCAACCACCGCTGTTATTGTTCTCTATCCTGCCCAAACATCCAAAATAATGTATCATGTTTGCTAAAATATTAAAATGCAGCAGTAACCATTAGAACCGCGACAATGCAACAACGCGTGCGTTTGGTCGCATCTTGGGCTCCTTGGACGTTCAATACTTGGTGACATCACCCTTACAGCCGTCACTGCTCGACAGTATCTTGGATGGGATTGCTTTAGTCTTTGCTTATGGAAGTCTTCGCCATTCCTCCTGCAAAGCGCGTTGGCAAGTTCTTCAGGTTGTCCAAGTGTCTGAGGACGATGGTGACGTTTACGGTCGCGTCGATCAAGATAGTCCCATAGATGTTCCATCGGGTTCATATCAGGCGATTTGGAAGGTCAGGGGAGGACACTTACGTTTGCATTGGCGAGATAGGCACCTGTTACACGAGCTATGTGAGGTCGAGTGTTGTCGTCTTGAAACAGCTCCCTCTGGTGCTTAAAAAGTTGGAGGAGGTGAGGTCGCAGGATTTGGTCGGTGTGACGATTTGCTGTAAGATTGCCTTGAATCACCACTTGCTCTGATCTACCCGTGTAGGACACGGCTCGACTCACAATGACGCTTCCTCCACCAAATTTGTCCATCTGTCGAACGCAGTTCGGCGCAAAACGTTCGTCCTGACGTCGATCAATCATGAACCACACGCGTCGTCAGTTTCCCAGGTTCCATGCCTGTACCCTGTTGCACCATTGGGCACGTCGTTGTCGGTGTATAGTGTTAGAACAGGTCCAAGTTTTAGTCTTTAGTCGATATGCTCGAATTCCCACTTCTGATGGTTTGGTCGGAAATTCTTCGAAGACCATGCAGCTGTCCTGTAGTGTCCGTTGCTGTAGCAAATATGTGACATAGGTGAAACACCCGGAAAAAGCAGGAGTGGTCACTCTTGGTCTTCCACTTCTGGGACGAGCTTGATTCGAATTCAAGCGGGTATATAGATGGCTCATGTATTTCTAGGTATGCTTATGTACATTTTGAATGTTATAGTTATGTTAGCAAGTATGAATGCTGAAATGCTTTTATGTTCGTATGACGTCAGGATACTGATGAGTGTTAACGGTAGGAAATGCTGTTTTGCCGAGCGGTACTCATGCTGGTTTCACGTTTCATAATGGAGACATTATTGACTCAATTTAAATCGGATTCATTATTTATTCACTTGGAAATGACACAGAACAGACTGGAGTGATTGTTTAAAAAGACGATCAGTCTTGTACTTAATATGCTGAAATCGGTTTGTAGAAACTTCTCGGATACAAATTATCAATGAACGAGACAACTGGTGGGAGGCTCAAAGACGATGTAAAGACAACGGAGGCAAGTTGTACACACCAGGCTCAGATGACATACCAGAAAAGCTTGTGGAGAATCTACAGTCCGACACCTACTACTGGATAGGTGCTATGAGCTACAGGGCCTGGCTATGGACAGGTAAAATGAGAACACTGTTTATATCTCCTGGCCACATTTTACACTGTGAGAAAAAAAGTTCACAGTAATTCACGTTCCTGGTCATTTGCTTTCTTACTCTACTTCTAAACATTATCATTTCACAAGAAATACAACATGTTGAAATCATGTGTCTTATCAATACGCCTAGAGAAGCTGGAGTAAAGCTTTACCTTCAATTGTCCAAATACAGTAGATTCAAGTCCCCTGTTCACCTATGCTGGTTTCCTTCCTCTGGGGAGTGTGACAGTAGAACCAAAGGGAACATATCTTGATAACTCGGTATGGAAGTGCCATCTTCACTGCAGTCCAGCATATTCAGTCGGCATGAAGGTGAGTTGTATATAACCTACCTTGAAACAGGTGCAGCAAAGGGCATGGCACTTACAGGTACATTCATATACAACAGACTGGAATGTTGATAAAACCAAAGTCAATTAATTTCCTTGAAACACCATCGTCTAAGAAACCTGACATTCTCATTGTATGATCCAAGTCCCATATGGTGGTTAAAACGTTCGCACGTCACTCCGAGACCCGGGTTTGATGTGTGAAGGCCATTTCCGGTGTTCTCTGTCGTAGTATTGCTGGAATAGTGCTCAAAGTAGCGTTAAACCAAACTCGTTCATTCACATCCGACATTTGCCCTCATTATGATGTCTTATTTGTTTGGGGTTTCACCAAAGTGGTGAACGTATAAGACATTCATCTTCATGAAGCTGACACTATGGTTTGCCCAAACGCACTCATTTAATGGATACACCTCCACATTCCACAAGTTATATGATTGTGAAACATGCTTTAAAACTGTCAAGGACTCAAAGGCAACGGTAACCCAGTTCCTCAGAAGATTTGGTAATTTCTGAAGGTCTGAGCTTCACTCTCAAAATGCAATATGTTGACAAAAAAATGATTCTTTGTCTACTGTATTTTGTTGAGAGACATGGCGAATGAACTGCCCGAAACTCCATTTCTTACAATATATTTAAGATAAAGTTTGGTTTTTGTATTGATGTCACGTAACTGTATTGAGAACCCTCATGTTACCATATGGTATCTTATCTAGTATCTTTATGTGCATACACAGGAAACAACGTGCTATTGTCTGGAAGAAGGATATAACACTACAACGTCGAGAACACCAGAGGACACGTGTCCAGGAAACCTGGAGGAATGTGTGGCAACACCCATGGGGTCAGTATACAAGCTAGGTACGACAATGTTAATTTCATCCTTGCATTCCATGAAATAATGCTTTAACACGTTTACTGGTCTCTCGACGCCAGACAGGAACAATGTATTCTGGTAACCATTATTCAGTCTTCTTACCAGATAACTACATTAAACACAGATTTTAGATTTGGTTTGAAGTGAGGCTTCTAAATTTTTTGTAAGAAAGAGAAAACATTCCGACAAGCATATCTATATTCTGCATTTCTAAAATGAACCAAAACGATAAATACCGAATGTAGTTAATAATGGCTTTATGTTGTTTCTAATTCAAATTCTAATGATAATTTATATATCCTGTCATTATTGATGGCCCTAGCATCTCCGGACACCAAGTACTATATTTTGTTCAGTGGCGGGTTTCCTCTGTTGAATCTGGTCTGCCTGGGTGGAAATCACCTGTAATGTAGGTAGTGGGTCGATTAAAAAATATGATAGCTTCAGCTAGTAAATCCTCTAAGCCACATTTCTCTCATACGGTAGTCGTAGAGCCGTGTTCGCGTTATGACACGATCAAAAGGACTGTTTGGCAACCTTCATTCCTAAAACACTTCAGTCAAAATGTTTTGAGTGACACCTATATTTTGATTAGTGTTGAAACCCTTATTCTTTCCATTCATGCCATTATAACGATTTCATGGCAAACAGTCTTCATTCAAAATGGGAGTGTGGATTATTCAAGTCCACCTTTTGTTTGAATTGATATTTTGACATTTATTCTAGCAAACATGACATTTCAACAAAACTGAGGGTGCTAACTGTGCTTACGTGAATCCCGCTGATACGCACCTCTCCATCCACACAAGATATTGCACAAACGTATCGAGGTGTTATATCTGCTCTGTGAGGAGTAAGTTGCATCAATTATCATTCACGATAAGAATATTCTCCTTTGATATTTGTAGTGTTAGAAATCAAGTTTCACAATCTGTTTCTTATGTATATAGATAATGTTCAATCAATCCTTATTTTCTTTGTAGTGGAGGCCATTGGCCCAAGCTACATTTCAGGATTTCAGAGCGGCACATATGTGATATATATAGTTCAAAAAGACAATATCTGATATTATATGAAGCAATTGGCATGAGCATATTTAACTTTTTGAATAGTGGGATTTTGAATAGAATTTATATGGTAAATCTCAGATTTTGATAACATTTACATACCAAAATAAAATGAAATTAATTTTCAATAAAGTTATCTTTACATACAAAGCAACATCTGAATTTAGCGAGAGCCGATCGGAATTACGAAACTGATAAATATTTTATGCAAAATTCAACATTAAATGAGATTTTGAAACAAGAATATAGTGAAAATTTAGGACTATTTACACGCGATGTGTGCCATTCATGTTCATAACTTGCTCTTAGTCTAAACACAAATTCTGCTATGAAATTATCAACATTACATACATGTTGCTGCTGTTCCCACATAAACCAACCAAATCAAAGAGTAAAGAATATTCTTAATTTTTATGTCCCGTTTGTTTTACCATTTACAGAGTCTACAACTAACATATTATAACATTTCTTTACAAATCTAGAATAGATAATGTTATGGAGGTTAGCATACAATGGTGCCTTTTAGGATATATTCGCCCTTCATGTGAACAAAAATGTTAACGGATAGTAGTGAATGAGCATAGGTTGCCAGCCATGTGAATTTGTTTCTTCTATTTCATTAATATACCTGCAAATCAAGATCTGAATTATCGCTATACCATATACGCATATTATGGCTCGAAAATCCTTACTTGATTCATAATCTTACGACACATTCATTTATCTTGTGCATAGAAATCCGTACAAAGAGAATTATAATCCAAGGATCAGCAAATATATATCACCCGTATCGGTGTCCTAACGGTTAATGATAAACTTCAATACAGTCACATAAGAAATAATTTTATTTATATTCACACAAAGTATTTGAGGCAATTAGAATATGCTTGATATATTTAACTCCTGAAAGGAGGAAGTTTTGCCTTTTTGTAAAGGAGGAAGTTTTATATTTTTATATTTGTATGCAGTATACATCTTCAAATGTTCAAGAACATTTTGTTAAAAAAAAAATAAAAGGCACAGTTACTGAAACTTTCCGAAGCTTGCAGAGAAAAACAACGTGTGAAAGCACGGACTTCCCCAAAGATAGTATCTGTAAAGACAGGGCTTCTAGGTATGATTCTTCACCAGCATTGTGCTCCTCTCTCTGTATAGCATGAGGATATGCTTACTGATCCTCATATGCTGCACATTTACTCTCAGTCAGTTTGAACTGAGCTTGACGAATGTCATTGTGCATTGTTTCCTACGACTATTGTCTGTATCAATACCTCCCTGAGGATAGAAGGATAGTGCGTCATAACTGTACAGTATTGTCACACGTGCATATCCTGAATGGTCAGATGAAACATCCCAAAGTTTCGAGGGTGAGCAAAATACAATATAAAAACATGCATTGTTCGTGACGTCATACGTTCATCATATTTGGTCATCCGACCTGAGGTATCTTTGCAGGAATGGGAGATTTCATGCGTTTTTTTTTCTTCAGTTTCTCTCTTGACACCTCATTGAGCAAAACATAGAATACGCTACTCGAAAGTTGGAATTACAGAGCATATTTTCTCTCGTGAACAAACGCTGACACTCCCTTCAATCCTTATTTCCTCGAGGGGCGGAGGGGTAACCTCGCGGTTAAAGCGTTCGCTCGTCACGCCGAAGACCCGGGTCGATTCCCCACATGGGTAGCTTGTGTGAATATCATTTCTGGTGTCCCCCACTGTGATATTGCTGGAATATTGCTAAAAGCGGCATAAAACTATAAACACTCACTCCTCACTTTAATTCCACGGAGCTCGTAATAATTTTCTGTTCATATGTTTCTATGACTTTGACTCTAAAAGCTCGGAGACTGAGGGCAATCTATAATCCTGGTGAAAGCTGGGCTTGGCTATGCACTCCTTACAAAACAACCATTATCAATTCATTTTGCGTATAGTGCTTCATGTATATCTATTTGTAAGACTTGTATATCTCTCGGTGATGAATCAAATGACATGTAATGTACTTATAGTGAAACAAGGATACGCATAATCTCTGCAACAAAGCATATAGCACGTTGTGTATAGGAAATGATTGAGACCTCTGACTGTAAACATCGAACTCCAACGCCAGAGAATATTCAGTCTTATTCATTTGCAATAATATTCCACAGGACATATAGGAGTAAACTAGTGGTGAATATATATCTACGGTTTTACTGAAAATCAGTGATGACACCAGGTGTTCCCAAAGGTGAGCATGTAAGCCTTTGCTTGTTGTCTAAATGCCACAGTGCAGTACTTCTGTCACATGACACAACATCAAGGCCACTGTTTCTGCTTCCAAGGTGTACGGCGGAGTCAGAAATGATGTGGTTGTAGACAGCGTTGGAATGAACCATAAATGTACATGCAACAGTCTTGACCAGCAGTTTCAAGCACGCGCTTTATACGGTATTTCTTTCATTTTATAGGTGCAACAACTACATCTGTACATTGTGGACCTCAGAAGTCATCATGGTTTGATGCCCACGAAACATGCAATTTGGTTAAACTGAATGAGAGAAGATTTTTTGACTTCACGAGTACAAAAAAAATTAAATACTACTGGATCGGTTTACACAACATATCTGCACAGGCGATGGACAAGCCGGTAAAGGGCAATACTGGTACTGTTTATTCACATGTAGTAGGGACAATTTCACTATTGTTTTAGAGTTTAGGCTTGTTTGCCAATACTTTTCTTTACGAATAAAATATGTTTAAAACACAAATACGCCAATGGTGAATACATACTAATCCATAAGCTGATAATGTTTAAATATGAGGCACAGATAATGGATAAATAACGTGGTGTGTTAATACCCATGTAGAGCCGAAGAGCTAGTATATGGATAGCTAACGGCAGTCAGATGGCTATAACATAAACTCTGTCAAAAAAAGAAACGCAACCCCTGTCCTCAGATATAGAAAATTCGTTTTGAATGAAGTTATTGCTTCAAACTAAATGTTATTCGAATGTATTGAAATTATACACGTAATGTAATAGAGATTACCATCC